ATAAGTAATAATAATTAATTTATTATAATTATAATGGTGATAAATTATGATTGGAGAAAATTCTCAAATTTTACATAACTAGATAAATAACATTGACCAATCATTTACAAACTAATTAATTTCAAAAATTTGAATATACTATCCACCAGCATAACTTAAAATGTTACATTTCCATGATTGTATCAATTTTGCTACTTTATTGTTAAACTACCCATATACAACAGACCAAAAGAAATTATTTATTTTAATTAGGATAATTCATGATTCGACAGATTAATTTTCCTTTCTTCTAAGTTAATAAATTGTAAAATTTTTTCATTTTTGGAAGTTGACAATCAAAGAAGTAATTGAAATCATTTTCATTAATTACTTCTGCTATTAAGAAAAATTCTATAATCACCTAAATTTAAATAAGGGCTATATTTCACAATCTAATACTTATTGAGTATTTGATTGTGATTTTTGGTTGTTCTGATTAATAGCTGATGAGGAGAGTGCTGTTTTGCCTCATCAAAGACTAATAGCAGAACCATGTAAGGCAATATAATGTCTTTTAAAAATAAAAAACTGTTGAGTTATACCTATTATGATTGGTTTGCAGAAATTTAATTTATCATATTCTGCTGGGATAATTAAAAACAAAAGTAATTCAAATAACCTTCTATCTTTATGGGCATAAGGATTAAAAGAATTTTTCAATAAATAAGAGAGGCCTTATTAAAGATTTACCCAGTATTCAATTTAAAGGTGTAGAAGACACCATTAGTGATAAATTGAAGATTAAGATCTAAGCTCACTAAAATCTTTATTATATAGAGGTTAATAAAATTATTTTCTGAATAAAGAACTTAAAAAAAAATTTATGTAATTCTTTGACAAGTATGAATAAGTAAGTAAGTAAACATAATCATTCTAAAAAGGATATTCAAGTTAAAAAAAAAAAGCATATTAGGCTTTAATTAATAAAATATTCTATTAATGTTAATTTTAATAATATGTCAATAATCATAATGAATTTCAATTTGCGTTATTTACTTGGGAAATGAGGTTTCAGTTATTTCTACCCATCTACCAACTTTCTTACCATTTTTATATTAACCTTTGTAAGTTACTTAAGAGTACTAGTCAAAATTATCTGATATTTCCACCCAATTACCTAACTTAAGTCCATCACCTGCTTCATCATATTAACCACCACCACTGAAACACACTTTTATACAATATATATTACATTGTAATAAATGGTTTATCTACATCAGGCCTATATTAAATATCCCATCTACCAACTTTCTTACCATTTTTATATTAACCTTTGTAAGTTACTTAGGATGAGTTCCAAAAATTATCTGATATTTCCACCCAATTACCTAACTTAAGTCCATCACCTGCTTCATCATATTAACCACCACCACTGAAACACACTTTTATACAATATATATTACATTGTAATAAATGGTTTATCTACATCAGGCCTATATTAAATATCCCATCTACCAACTTTCTTACCATTTTTATATTAACCTTTGTAAGTTACTTAGGATGAGTTCCAAAAATTATCTGATATTTCCACCCAATTACCTAACTTAAGTCCATCACCTGCTTCATCATATTAACCACCACCACTGAAACACACTTTTATACAATATATATTACATTGTAATAAATGGTTTATCTACATCAGGCCTATATTAAATATCCCATCTACCAACTTTCTTACCATTTTTATATTAACCTTTGTAAGTTACTTAGGATGAGTTCCAAAAATTATCTGATATTTCCACCCAATTACCTAACTTAAGTCCATCACCTGCTTCATCATATTAACCACCACCACTGAAACACACTTTTATACAATATATATTACATTGTAATAAATGGTTTATCTACATCAGGCCTATATTAAATATCCCATCTACCAACTTTCTTACCATTTTTATATTAACCTTTGTAAGTTACTTAGGATGAGTTCCAAAAATTATCTGATATTTCCACCCAATTACCTAACTTAAGTCCATCACCTGCTTCATCATATTAACCACCACCACTGAAACACACTTTTATACAATATATATTACATTGTAATAAATGGTTTATCTACATCAGGCCTATATTAAATATCCCATCTACCAACTTTCTTACCATTTTTATATTAACCTTTGTAAGTTACTTAGGATGAGTTCCAAAAATTATCTGATATTTCCACCCAATTACCTAACTTAAGTCCATCACCTGCTTCATCATATTAACCACCACCACTGAAACACACTTTTATACAATATATATTACATTGTAATAAATGGTTTATCTACATCAGGCCTATATTAAATATCCCATCTACCAACTTTCTTACCATTTTTATATTAACCTTTGTAAGTTACTTAGGATGAGTTCCAAAAATTATCTGATATTTCCACCCAATTACCTAACTTAAGTCCATCACCTGCTTCATCATATTAACCACCACCACTGAAACACACTTTTATACAATATATATTACATTGTAATAAATGGTTTATCTACATCAGGCCTATATTAAATATCCCATCTACCAACTTTCTTACCATTTTTATATTAACCTTTGTAAGTTACTTAGGATGAGTTCCAAAAATTATCTGATATTTCCACCCAATTACCTAACTTAAGTCCATCACCTGCTTCATCATATTAACCACCACCACTGAAACACACTTTTATACAATATATATTACATTGTAATAAATGGTTTATCTACATCAGGCCTATATTAAATATCCCATCTACCAACTTTCTTACCATTTTTATATTAACCTTTGTAAGTTACTTAGGATGAGTTCCAAAAATTATCTGATATTTCCACCCAATTACCTAACTTAAGTCCATCACCTGCTTCATCATATTAACCACCACCACTGAAACACACTTTTATACAATATATATTACATTGTAATAAATGGTTTATCTACATCAGGCCTATATTAAATATCCCATCTACCAACTTTCTTACCATTTTTATATTAACCTTTGTAAGTTACTTAGGATGAGTTCCAAAAATTATCTGATATTTCCACCCAATTACCTAACTTAAGTCCATCACCTGCTTCATCATATTAACCACCACCACTGAAACACACTTTTATACAATATATATTACATTGTAATAAATGGTTTATCTACATCAGGCCTATATTAAATATCCCATCTACCAACTTTCTTACCATTTTTATATTAACCTTTGTAAGTTACTTAATTATATTTATTAAAGCTATCACTCAATTCCTACCATTCTCCATTCTTAATTCCATTTTTATAAACCCCACCACCTCTTTGTTATTTAATAATATAATAGTTACATCTCGTTATATTAAAAAAGAAACTTCCAGACACCATTTCTTTGACCGCTCACATACTCACCTTTTTCAAGCACTTACGCTTATCTATTAATTAATATTATTTAATTCACTTTTAATAATTTTTCGCCAACTCTATCCAATAACCTTATTTTTCACCATTATTAGAGTACTCTCCACCAACATCCTATATTTTTTCACCACTCCATATTATGATCCATTTGCCTATCTACTTATTATTATCTCCATATTGTCCAAACCATTTAAGATTTTAGATTTATTCTAAATAAGTTAAAATTTCAGGATTCTTTGTTATGTCTATATTTTTATCTCTAAGTTAATCTTAAAGTAATTTTACATTCTTAGCCTAGATCCATCTCTGAAATATTCAATTTCTTTGTCCAATGTATAGGTGATTTGGAGTGGTATTGTTTGTTAAACAGGTGGTATATAATTATAATTCCAATAGATTCCTCTTAGTTGTTGGGTGCCTTCTTTCCATATCAATTACTCTTTCTTTTCAATCCTATTTAAAAATGTTGTTAAATTATACCGAAACATCTATAAAATCTCATTCATTTCTTGTTTAAATTTTTCATTGAAAGTTTTCACTTCTTTTTCTAGCCACTACTTTGCTTTATCCAATTTCGACACATAAGAAATCTTTTTATAATTCCAATCATCTAAAATTCTACCATTCTGTATTTACACTAGTTTTTCCAAATCATTATAAGAAGATTCTGCTAAATTTTCATTTTTTCTGATGAGATTAATGTAAGAATTATTTTCTTACTCAATCATCTCATAGATCAATTTAATTGAAGTTACTAAATCTTCCCATAACTTCTTCATAATTGCTTCAGTTTCAGATAGCAGTTATTTGAAGCTTATTTTCTATTTAATTAATTCTGATGTATCCTCCAACTGATTTTCTGACAATTTCTTTAGAAGCATTTCATGAAATTTGTTAATTGGAACTGCTTATTTAATCTCTGTTCCGTGTTCATAAAGACATTCAACACACATCTTCCTTTAACATTAACACTTGTGTTCAGCCACACATACCAAAGATATTGGACTTCGAGGATGAGAAGTGCAAAACATAAACTTAAAAATAATAATTCCAATTTCTATTACTTTCTTCAAATATAAACCAAAAAAGTATCTTGTGTATTTTTATGAATATGAAGACTAGACTTTGTGAAGATTTGGAATTCATTGTATTTGATCTAAATCGGGTATTTAGGATACATTCCTTTTTTTGTTAAGCTTATTCTTTTATAATATAGAATAGGATTATAAATTTGTGAAATAAATACTAATTACATAATTTCATGTTATTTCAAAATTCTATATAATTTCTCTAACGTGCTTTTTTTCAAATCAAATACAGTTATTATTTATTGCTCAAACATATAGATTTTTTTTTAGTCTTTGAAACACTATTCTATCAAGCTTTATGAAAACTAATCATTATGAAATTCAAAAAAATTATGTTCTTTTAATAATTTTTTAATTTATTCTTAAGTCTTAAGTTTAGGATAAGGATTAATTATTTAATAAAGACTCAAATAATTTAAATCGATAAATTTAATTGATTATTTAACGAAACTGATATGGCTTATTTGATTTCTTTATTTTCTTACAAAGTAATAATTCTTAATTACTTTTCTGCAATTTTAGTCATATCCAAAATCTGATTGTAGAAGATTATTAATAGATTTAGTTTTTACTTTTGAAAATAATATAAAAATTAAAGATTTATTTATCGGTACTTCAGATTTAAAGTCTTATAGCTTCGATGAAACCAAACTGTATTCAATTTTAATATAAAATCTGTTATTTCTGCTGCCTACATTAAATAACAATACAAGCTTTAATGAGTAACTTATTGCCTTCATCATATTGATACATTTGATTTTTAATTAATCAAATAATTAGAAAATTATGACGAAAAGAATTTAAAATATATTAGAGAATTCATACACCTTTTTTATATACCTTAACAGAGTAATTGATTAATTACATACTTTTTTTATATTTAACTTCATGTCAAATATTATAAAAAATTTTCAGCTATTTTAAAAATAATTTGTTTATAAATATCATTACAATTCTATATCAAACTCTATTGATCTAAATTCACAAATCATCTTTCTATTTCACTTCTCAATATTGATTCATCATTTTAAATCCGT